ACAAGAAGAGGACGACGACGACGACGACGACGACGACGACGACGACGACGACGACGACGACGAAGACGACGACGACGACGACGACGACGACGAAGACGAAGACGACGATGGTAAGAGCGGTGAAGATGCGGAAAGTGTAGGAGGTGGTAGATTCTGTAAATTCGGGGGCATTGTCCGAGAAATGTGAATATTCGGCGGAGGCACATTGGTATTGGCGGTAATAGCCTGTACAGAGGTAGCTGGAGATCCGTGTATCGTATGTGACGGTGACATTTGCATTCTAGGATCTCCGGATCGATCGTCTATTCCGGGATAACTGTTCACCAGATTCTTGGGAGGTGGCATTCTCAGCAAGTTTGGAGGAGGAATGTTGGTTATGATGTTTCGTATGTTTGGCGGCGGTACACTCGTCAGATGCATCACAGATTGAGACGCGTGAGGAGGCACAAGAGACGAATTCCCATTTCTAGGGAAATACTGTTGCTGATTGTGCTGCAAACGTTGCGCAGCGGAAGCTAATTGGTTAAAGTTACGTCGAGCTTCTGGGCTTTGCGACGACGTGTGTCTGGTAGGAGACGGGCTTGAGGATGAACTGTGCCTCTTATCGGAGCTTTTTTCCCATCTGGAATCGATCCTTCTACGCTCTCTTCTATTCTCCCAATCCCTGTTTATATCATTGCTCTTCTTCCTTTCCTTATGATGCGTACCGTCCGTGTACTTCTCCTCTCTCTTCTCTTCGGATTTCAAAGAAAACATTGATTCTGTTTTCGCTGTTCCTTTGTTACTTGCAATTCTTTTAAATTGATCTAAAAAGCTACCATCATTGGCGAATAGATTAATTGTTTGCGACACGGTTGGTTTCTCTTCGTGTTTTCTGTAATAAGTGTTTTCGTGGAAATAATGACACGCTTCGAATGACACGTTTCAAAGTAACAGAAATTTTTGAAACTGGCAGAAAATGGATCAACGGTTAGTCGGCGGCTAACCGACGAACAAATCATTTTATAATTGCTATACGAGCGACAATCGTTTCAAATAGTCGTTAATCGGTTAAACTAATCGGCCAGTGACAAGTGTCAATTTATACATTAGAAATCGCATTTGATACACAGAATTCAGAAAAGTGTTTTCGTACAATTAGCAATTCGAAAGAAACAACATGAAAAGCTACTTACTTGACGGTATTAGCTTTATTCGTTCTCGAATTCGGAATCAGTGCATTGCTCTTTTTCAAATTTTCCACGGCTTCTTTTGCTTTCTGTTCTTGCATTTTCGCTTGTATCTCGAGCTTCTTTTGCTGAATAATTTGTTCTTGCTTCGACATTTGCGCGAAACGTTCATTTCGAGATGTTTTCGAAACAAATGGATCGGAACCTTTCACACCACGATACGCCATATTTGTTGTGTCACAGCGACTCTCTAGCGAGGTCGGTATGTATTCGCATTGAAAGTGAAGCAACTTGAAGTCGAAAAATGTCTAATTCCGACAGCCTGTACTCTAACAGAACTATGGAGTTATGAGTTTTAGTCCAAGAATCAGAATCACCAACCGACAGACGAACTCCCTCTTTTAGTGCATTATTTAATGCTACAAAAAATTCAATTCCAGTTCGGTTTTACATAATACGTAGCACAGAAATGATAAGAATCATTTACTGCGTAAAAGTCATCGTTCGCATTTACCGCGCCCCCTATCATACTAGGGTAAGTTTAACCACGGACGAGTCATAGGATAGACATTGCGAATTCATGGGACTCGGTGCGTCACGTGTTCTGAATTACCTTCATTAATTATGGACAAAATCAAAGGTTCGTGAATAGGAGAAAATACTACGATAAGCAAAATGTTCAAAGTTGACCAAGTAGGTACGTATCTTGAGTCTGCTCCAAGTTCCAATAGTTTTCATTCCAATTCCTATCGCTTGTAGCGCTGCCGTGCTATGTAGCGAAACCAGCCTATGTCGATATAGCAGGGCGTAACACGAAAATCTTATGCTGCGTACATATGTATCCTGTACCTCGTCTGCACGTGTGTTGCAACTAAAAATAAAGATTAATTTATTGCATAAAAACGTCTTGTTTTGGCGTGTATCTTTAGTTACAATATCCATTCAATTATTACGTTGACATATTTTCATCGACCAGCTTCTATGACGCCTTGTTCCCAACTAACTATTTACAAAAAGGATATCACGAGTATTAACAAAAGAATTTTCAAATGTCGAGTTAAGCAATAACCGATAACAAATGGAAATTGACTTTACCTACAACTAGAAACCGACGGTGTCGACGCATTGGCTACACAGTGGTCTACATTATCTACACCGGCAGATAAATAAATAAACGTAGAGACCGCCACAAAGCAATACAAGTTGTATGAACTTGAGAAGAAATCTCGAGTACCTACTTAAATACCCAAGTATTTCGAAATATGTACAGCGGTAACATATCAATATATAATTATTGGGCCGAGTGCCGCAAGTGGACGCGCGTGTTAGGAAACAGAAAAATAGAATCCGCAACTCCGAATAGAAAAATACTAATTCATAAATTATTGTACATATTTTGGAAAATTTCATTCCGCCATACTTATTTTAAGGTTTTTAATGTATCTAAACATGCAAATATATACAAATTGTATGGAATATACAAAATATATACAAATGTATTACAAATACAAACACCATTGTCGTTATTAGATTATTCAAAAATACACATTTGTATAAACAATCGCCGTTTAAATGCAATATATTTACATATGTGTGTATTTAGAAGAAAAATCAGACGAACCAACTATGAATAATACCGTGTAAGCTCAGCGCTGTAAACGATAAAAATACAACTGTTACCAACTGTCGTATGAAAACATTGAAATTTATCGAAAAAGTGAATAAACTACGTTGTCAATCTATTTGAACGATCAGTGAAACAAATAACTTATTCATTCAATCAGCGCGACAAATGCTTTCCAACATTTAACGTTTACAATTTGAAAAGTGGTAAGAAATGATAAATCTAGTGAAATATTCTTCTGTGAATTTAACAACGTCGAGAGTTTCTGAAATGTCCATATCGTTTTGAATGAAATATTCAAAGGACTTTTAAGCAAACGTTCTAATCAAATCCTGAATGTTACATATCTGAATTCTTCTCGTGCTCTTAAATATGTCTAACGTGAAAACTGACGATGTATTCAGCGTTCGTTCGTTGCACGGAAATAGCAAATGGGTCGGTTGGATGGAAAGTAAATGCAACCAATCGTCTTGCAGCCGTTGGTGTCGTACGACCCAACATTCCCGCGTACATTCGAAATTTCAACAGACCCGAATCACGAGCGTAAAACCTAGAAAATAAATGCACGTAAACATTTTGATATTATAAGAAATTTATTTTGATGTTATACAAACTAAGGAATCGATACCGTATAGGATGTTCTCCGCATGCTTTAGGCCGTTCCATCATCGATACCCATTTATCGTCGTAACAAAATAGAGATAAATCTAGATATGGAGAACTAGAGTAAGACTGAGCGCATATTGGCAATTGAGCAAGTAGTCTTTTCGTAGCTTCTGTAACACCGCCGTATCTCGCACTCACTATCGTCTGTTTGAATCTTTGCTGTAATAATCTAGGAAAAAAGTAAGAAATTACAATTCAAATAAATAAATTTCAAATGTATAGATCTATATTTTCAAATTGTTTTGATTACATTTCAAACGTGTTATATATACATACCTTGCATATATATTATTAGATGGGGAGCACATGTACTGACAGTCTGTACTCATTCTTGCGTTTCTAAAGAAATCGCTGAAATTCTCAAATTGGGTCAACAACTGTGTAGATGCGTTATCATATGCAGCTAGTATTTTAGCTGTGACCATATCGTAAACTACTAAAAGTGCGGGTTGTGCGTTTGGTTCATTCGCTTGAAGCGTCGCCACTTCTTCACTCGTAAATCTTACAAGTATATGGTTCGTATCTAATAACTGCATCTTCCACATGCGTAACGCATTTAACTAAAATATTCATTTACATAGTTTATAGAGACTGATAATATACTACCATACTTTACATACCTGATCAAAATATTGATAAAAACGTCTTAATTCGTATGGATCTTTTGTTGTATCACTAATGTATGCTGCTCTTTTATATAGATAAACCAGTAACTTGTGCTTAAGACTGTTTATTGTAATGTCTCTGAACGGACGGGAATTTGCTCCTGGACAGGCGCTTGTAACCAAATATGCATCGTCTTCTAAACAGAACCTGTTACAAATTAGAAGCAATTTGTAAGAATACAACGCGATAGTTACACCTGTTATGCCCCTGTTACCCTCCCCCTCCCTCACCCCGGGAACGGTAGATATTTCTTTAATCGAATAATACCTTCCTATAGTTCTGACATTTATAAACATTCCATCGAGGATTTGAAATATATGTATAGTTTGATGTTGTACCGACAAGACTGCCAAGATATCTTTATACAAATAAAGACCTGTAAAAAGAAACATATATTCTTGTCATTTCACATTTATTAAATACTTTTATACGCGTGAAACTTTGATATTCGATAAAAGATCTATACCTTGATTATGAGACAAGTATATTTTATCTACTTTAAAATGTCTAGTATCACATAATTTTCCTCCACGTAAGTCAACCAGATGTAAACTATAATCTTCCAACGGGGATCTAGGATTTGGAGTTAGGGCTTCGTTGTTGGAATAAATCTTGAATAAAATATCTCGAGTTATTCGAGTGAAACGTATGCCTGTTAAATGAACAGAGAACCGTATACCTGATAAAAATGAGGTCTTAATTCGTCTGGAATATGGGCAGCGGAACCCACAATTACATATCGACCATCATCTGTAAACAGACTGCATTCTCTATTTAGTTGTTCATTACTTTGAACTACATTTATAATCCATTTAGTCTACAAATATAATTAAAAATTAGTTCTTATTATATGTACTGTTTTTCTATGTATGTTTATTATTTATAAATTGTATTAAAATTATAATAGAAAAAGCTAATGTAACATACCTTGAAGAATCGATTAAAAATATTACTTCTAATTTGAAAACTGTATTCGTCATTCTTATGACCAATATATTCACCTTCGCAATTGGCTAACAAATCAGCAGCTGCAGATGCACCACGATATTCATAAACTTCTATGGAAGTTTGATCAGCGCTAAAAGCTATTAAATAACGTCCATCTGGACTGAATTTTCTGAGAAAACAAGGTGGTTTCTCAACATTCATAACAGTAAAATTTGGAAACACATTTTGGTAAAATTGTCTAGCATTGTGAACATGTGTTCCTGGGTAAGGGCAACCAAACGTTTCACGACGCTTCAGACGTACGACTATATTTTGTGGACCTATTTTACGAGGCTTTATAGGACAAGGCTCTGTCACATACTCAATCTTTGTCTCCTTCTCGGCCATTCCTTACGACTATTCCAAATATACATTAAAATATACATTTCACTCAATTCATGTCACTTAACACGCAAAATATTTGTACTTTTCCTAATTCGATCCGACCGAAACTACCGTATTATTTTGTTGGTTATGTTCAACAGTTGTTTGAACAGATACGCTTAATTTGAAAATCTGAAATTACTTTTATACTACATTGCTCAACGTGTATTGTTTGACTCGCAAAGAGGAAACACAGCTACTTGTTTCGTTGAAAGCTCAATTATGACACTAATGAGTATATATATATTTCCAGATCAACCAAAATCCTCGTGTACAATATCACGTCTCATGCACCACACAATTTACACTTGCAAGCAGAGACATTCGTCACAATTTGGTTTTTTTGTACAAGTACCCAAGTACTTACATGCCGTATAATACCGTGATTTTCTATCTACGTACGCCATAAACTGTAGTGTTGCAAATTTAATTTATAAGATCACGCATACAAATTACTATTTTTATTTTATAATGTGTTTATAAATACATGTTTTTTTCTTTTTACAGAAATACGGTAAACACAAATACACAATATTTGTATATATAGAAATTTTATTATACATACCAGACTTGCACACAGATACGCGAGATGCGAATAAATTCGTACGACATTTAACCGTTGCGTGTTCAGAAATTTACAAGAGACTTCAGTTATTTTCTTTAAATATTGCATCTTATTTAGACTCGGATGACGTACGATGATTATACTATAAGCATACTGTTCTCATACAACCGTCTACAGTGCGTTACTGTCATAATCTCAGCCGACCCGCGGCTCAAAGGTGAAGAGGGGCAAGGGGATTCGGCCAGTACAAAGACGCGCCGAAACTGATTCCGCCGTTACTATCGGGCTGAGCGCCGCGAATGGACGGCTCCCCTTGCCCTTCTTCACTTTTGAGCCGCGGGGGTCGGCTGGGATTGTGTCTCTAACGCACTATATACGTGATCCACAAAAGTTGCCAATTATTTACATGTACCGGAACATGTATTTCAATAAAGTTGGAATATTCTCAAATTTTTAACCGTATGTAGCCGTATGTAGTATAAAATCATCATTTCCTTTAAATAACACCTAACAAATAAAAAAAAACACATAACGACAAGATTAAAGTATCATTGAAATCCGTATGTAAGAGAATAGTTGTTATTTATTTCATTTTAAACGATTCGTCTACAAACGCTTTATTTCATTGTTAATTTCCTTATAATTAAACTAAAAATAAGCAACTTGAATTGTGGTGAATTTTAGATTTTAAAACATAAGAAATAAACAGCCATTTCCAATTATTATTCACAGTGTTGTATTGATGAATTTAATACATTTCATTTTCACTGCCTGTGATCTTAAAATAAATGAAATTTTATGTCACATTTCATATACACATAAACTTAAAACGCAAAGGTATCGTAAATCTTGATGTATTTTTTATGTAGCAAAGCCCCGATTTTATTTACAAAGCAGATTGGACTGTCCTACGGAGACAGCGCAAAGAATAGGAATAGTCTGCACAGGCCGGTGTCAACAAAATAATTTTAAATCAATGTAAATAAATATTGTATGTTGTTCGACATACGTAAAAATTATTCGATACTTTTCTATTTTTCGTATTTTTTTCTTCTTTCATATATATATATGTATATATTTTTGATGTAACATTATATATAAAGTAATAGTTTACAGTATATCACACACATATATATGTGTATATATATACATATATACATATACACATACATACCACACATGCATACAAACACACCCCCACACACATATATATATATATATATATATATATACATATATGTAATGAAAAGAAGTTTATTATACCATTAAATGCGTCCTCGTGTTACGCTCGTTTTTTTTAGGGAACTGTACAAAATTAAGTTCAGTAACATTTACCGGAAAATTTGTCTAGGTAATACATTTTCTACGCTCGAGTTATATTACAGAGTTCATCTTTATAAGTTATATTCAACTATATTATGTTTATTAAACATCAAAACTCGAATTTTTATAAATAAACGCACATACTTTTAAAAAAATGTTGATACGTTTGTTTAAGATATTTAATAAATCGTGTCTTGTTGTAAACTGCGATATCATCTATAGAGCAACAAAGATTTTTCAATTTCAAATGCGTATGCGTATATTCGTAGGAATCCGCACTTGATTACATTCATTCAAAATAACATATGCAAATTGTAACTTGATAATTCATTATTCTTTATGATTTATATTACATTGTTGATTAAGGTATAAAGCTTGAAATTTATATTAGCGTCGGGATACAATATTTAAGTACTGCATAAGCATTGCTAAAGTCAACAGTGGCGGAAAATAAATCTGAGGTGAAAAACATGTTTTGTGTATGTGTATACTTGTGTACTTGCGTGTCCTGCTAGGTAAAGAAAATGTCAAGATTGGATAATCAATCTGAACTTTAATTTGTTGAACTAGCACTGGAATTACTGCTACCCGAAGATGATGTAGACGATGTTCTAGTACTGTTTGATTCATTTGCTGCTCTAAAAATAAATAAATATTTATGATAACTTCTAGTTTTTCCAACAACCATTTGTATGCATCTTAATTTATTAAATTGTGATATTTAAAGAAGAATGCTTTTGAAATTTGCAAAATGTATCGTTATTTCTAAGTTAATATATACACATTATGTATAATTAGGCACATCAGTCTACCTAAAACGGGCAGCCAGACTAGGTCCAACAGTATCTTGATTTGCTTCCACACAGTTTTGATCGCCTAAGTTTTGCCTACAAATAGGGCAAGTCCCATGCTAAAAAGACAAAGAAAATAACCATATGAAATTACATGAAAGACAACGCGATAAATAATAGGTACAAAAGATAATCATTCAGATTGTTGGGAGCATTTTTCATTGTACTTACCAGCTCTAACCAAGGTAAAATGCACGGTGCATGATATATATGTAAACACGGAAGTTGCTTGACTGGTTCTGAAAGCTTGAAGTCTTCCCAACAAACAGAACATTGCATTTTACTATCTGTTCAGAAAAAATACATTTATTTAAGAACACGACATTCTTCGTATACATTATCATTTTTTATTACTGAAAATATAGTTATTTTTATACTCACCAACTTGGCTTTGGGTTACAGTTGTGGTTGGTATTTTGTCTATTTGTTTCTTTGGTAAAGGTGGTGGACCAGCAGTACCATCCAATTGATTTAACACGTTTGTTACAACTTCATCGAAACCAGGACCGTCCGGACCCAAAATAAAATCTTGAGGATTTGGAAAGACCAGTCTAATATTGAATGTTTATTAGTTTCTTTCCTTTTAATAACACTAAATATTAAATAAAACAACAATAAGATTCATCCCGAGTAAACAAGCTTTCTAGTGCCTCTTGTACCAGTTGGAATGTCAATTTTTGAATTTCTATAATTTCTTTAAAAAAATTTCTCTGAAGTCTCTGAAATATCTACCGAGACATATCCGTTGGCGCATTTTTAAACTCACTTTTCTGAAGAATCCTCTTTCGTTATGCAATGGAGTAGGAAACGGAAGTACCTTTTTCTTGGAGAACTTTTATCATATTTATTTCAATGTGACCTTACAAAAAAGGAAGTCTCCTCTTTACAACGAGCAGCCAAAAGTTGTTCTACAATTATTTTTCTTATTGCTGTTTTATTGCACTTTAAACGAAAAATGTATCATCGCTAATAGATATTAATAAATTAATAAATAGCATACAATACACATTAAACATTGACTTCTCATAGTAGAAAAACTAACATCTTGTAATAAATAGAACATTCATCGCGAGTATATTTCTCTTAAAAATAACAAAATTTTGTTGTATATGGGAAGGAAGGAAATACAAAGTAGAAACAGAACAAATCTTGAAGTCTAGTTTGGAAGATACTCGGGATAGCGTTTTGTGTAAAACATATTCTGCTCGAAGCAGAAATACTTGTGTACACAAGAATAATTTGGTTCTCATTATAGTTGCAATATTATACATACACAGGTGGTTGTCTATCATGTGTGCCAGAATAATCCATAGTCGTTTCTGCGAGAGCATATAGAAACTCTTGTAAGAACATCTGTAGAGACGCAGGATAGTCTTGTCTTCCACGACCTCTGTGTAATAAAAGAAAAATTATTGGTACCTACTTAATCATTTTTTTTATTATTTTACTACGATAAAAATAGTATTGGATAATATTAAAAGAAACAATTGAATGCAACAATTATTCAATTTCTAGGAAGTTGGACAACTCGTGTTTCTCGATAATCTAAATTGAAATGTATGTAGCATAAGTAATTTGAAACATGATCCTGATTAAAATCAAATCACCGATCTATACACGTTTGGAATTTTCAAACGATTAACTACCAACTCACCTATAAGACTGTCGGGCATACCAATTATTCGAATTCACATTATTCAAATTGGCAAGTACACTATTTCTGTTAGGTGTGTTTGATGTTTGACCTCTATCGGATACTCGTGGCAAGTTTAACACATCATGTTCTCTCCGCTATAGAAAGAATAATCGATAGAAATTAAGATTTTCGTTTGCATTGAAATAGAGAATATTATCGAAAGAACACGTTAAACAGATGGAAAATTTATGTTTACATAATTTAGTAGTAGATAATCATGATCAATAATGTCTTCACTAACAAGATCCGTGCCTGAGTTACTATCGTCACTACCACTTTCTAATTCTTCTATAAAACCACTCGCGCATCTTGGACATGTATAATCCTAAAAAGAATTACGTATTATTATACTGCTGATATATTTTTGTGTCGTTATATTTGAAATAGTCGGAGAATAGATAGCATTTAATGTCAATTAAAATTCGTTTTCTTAGGAGATTTGAATTACATGTGACAGTTGAAAGATTTTTGGATAATTATAGAAAAAAGGGTGCACCCAGTGATTTCAATGAAGTTGAAATATGTTGTTGGGGACATGATTCTGAACAACTTTTCCGCTGCTCGGGTTGTTTTTATGGATATTCGAAAAACTAGATTCGATGGCATGTTATTATGTGAAACTGATTTCTCTAGAATTGCAGAACGAAATCAGTGACGAAACGATTGTAGCATTACAGTTATTTCGAGGAAAAAGTTGGTGAACCATTCAAAAATAATGAGACAGACTGATAAGAAACCAATTACCTACCCTAAAACGAAAAGCGGAAAAATTAGTGCGCGTGATATCGAATGACAGATCAAGAGAAAATATGTTAGAAATCAGAAAGAGAGTGGCATCTAGTTGACGATTATCTACATGAGAAATATGTGAACACACTTACTGGTAATAAATCTTCGATTTCAACGCTGCATTTGTGACAGAAAAATCGAGACATTGGTGTCCCGTCCACAACGGCTTCCGCCATACTTAATGAATTCTCTTTGCTCTTCTTACCTATTTCCGACTATTATCACGATTTGCGGTGATCCGTCACAACAGTTCGTCTACTTGATTGCGTTTAAGCAAATGTCGAATCTGAACGGGAAAACTACTGATTTTAGATGATACTTTCACATAACACGAGATGGCGTCCGATTAAATTTGTCGATTGCGTATCAACACCTCGTTATTGCGTTCAATTACATTTCTTTACAATCGTTCTTTTTCTTTTTCCATTTAACCACGTACCACTCGATATACCATTGCTTTTCTACAGTATTTTTTCCCCGTAAATCGTAACTGGAAAACCGTGTCCCACACACGGAAATATTCGTTAGCTATAAATCCTCTGGCTGAAACTGTTAAATTAACAAGAACAGATATTTCTTGCTAATTTACACTGAACGTCTTTTAGCTTTCATAGCGCTACAAAGTATCGAATTTGTAGTGGTTTTCTCAATCGATTCTCATGTATACGCACATTATATGTAAACACCGAGTAAATATATCCTAACGAAAAATACGTTTAGCAGGTTAGATTTTGACACACGGTTTTATCGAGCACTTACCAAACGCATAAGAAGGGATCCCACTTATGTCGTGAATTCTTATTGGTAGAATGGGATAACGC